CCCCTCTACAGGAAATTTTGTAAATTTGTAGTTGTAAAGACAAAATTCTTTTCTAAGGATTTCTGTAACACAGGATTTTCTAATGTCATACATATGATAGGCAAAATGTGGTAAATTAACTTGCATTTCTTTAATTTCAAATAAAATTATACTTCTGTGTGTTTTAAAACCTTTTGTCTCTTCTGGGATGCAGTTTAAATACTTTCTTCAGCAGGATGGATACAATTGAGAGCTAATACTCTGTTCTTAGTGTGATTTCAAATTATTGTCTTTGGGTTGGGGCTGTATCTCAGTGACACAGTTCTAGCCTGGCAAGTGTGAGGTCCTGAGTTTGATTCCTGATACAAAAAAAAAAAAAAATCAAATTATTGTCTTCAAGATTGTGTCAGTGTAGGTAAAACACTGTATATTATTTCATTGTTATTTTTGTATTGTTCTTCACTTTTTTTTACTCTTTTATTTTCCTCTTTCGAATTTTTTAATAAGTTCTTTGTTATTGTTTTGTGTTTTCTTTAAACAAATCTTACTCAATTATATTTGGTAATCTGAACAACTAACTTGAAGATAGCATCATATAATACAGCCACCATTGTTGAATTCCTATTACTTTGCTTAGTGAAATCTTGTATTGTTTCTTTTTTTGTATGAATTTTATTGAGAAAGAAGTAGCAATGAGACAGTTTCAAAACAGGTTAATAGGACAGTTAAAATAATTAATACATTGCATATTGTTGTCTTTGTAGTAGTTATTCATAGTACAAGATGCAAACATAATATCTTGTCTAAACAATATTAGTTCAAAACTTTCTTCTCATTGAACTAAGAGAAAGTAGTTGTATACTATGCTATTTTGTATATACAGATATATATTTTTTCACTATGAAATGGTCCTTCATTTATATTCCCTTTTTTGTTTACTTTTGTCAGAGATGGGTATTACTGTAACATCCTATAACTCAGTGGTGTCCCAAATTTTCTGATCAAGGAGATTATGGGGCCATAGAGGAAAGTGATCAACAATGTAGAGTGTGCCTAAGGAGAGTCACCTGGAGAGAAAACATTCTCTTAGGCTTTCACAGAGAGCAAATTGTACAAGCAATGGCCGTGACTCATCCACATGGCTGACACTGACAAAAGATAGACAAACTGCTACACAGGGTTTCAGGGTAAATCCTGAGGGGATTTAACTGACCTTGTCAGATACAAAAGTTACATTTTTGTTATATAGGTCTTGCTTTTGTCTTGGTCTTAACCGTCCAGCAGAAAAGTATAAAAGTGAAGTATAAAAAGTAAAGCCACATTAATATGCTGAGCTGTAAAAGGCTCAAGTCAACAATTTCTGACATTGTCAGTCATGTGGATAATGGACTGCTGGACTATATTGGATTACTTTGCTGAATTCATGCACCTACAATATGTGAATGGAAATGGAATACCCATGTCTTCACTTTTTTAAATGAAGGATTCTCTGCTCTTAGAATTTTTTCTGTAAGAAAAGAAATATTTAATTTCAAATAGTTAGATTCATATAATTTATTTTCACAAATTATGTGTCATAAAATTTTAGGAAAGGAAAAGTAGAATTTTGAGCAGAAGTTTTTGATATATGTTCTGCACACAAATGTAGATGTTCATATATTTTTAATAATTCATATAAGTAGAGATCTAAATATAGGGAAATCATTAGGGTACTTGATTCTAATGAATCAATAATAATCCATAAGAACTAGTAATTATGGTAAATAATATATTATTAATTCTAGTATATGTAGCAGTGTAGTAATGAGTATAGTAATACCTCAGTTATTAAACTCAGTTTTTTTCAAATTCCTGTTCAAACATTGAAAATTTAGAGAATTAAACATGTTTCTCTCATAAGAAATAATAGAAAACAACAAACTGGTTCTGAGGCCCAAAACTTATAAATTAATTTTCACAGAACTTTAACAAATGTTTCAATAATTTCTTTAACTCTGTTATGGTTCTCACAGTTTTTCTCTTAGCTTCACTGCTGGTATTGCTTACTTTTTTTGGAGCCACAGCTACAATATTTTATGCCTATGAAGTGCAAGGACATAGAAGCACAGTGACTGATGTTCTAACACAATAACACAAGCACTATATATATTGTCTGAGCAAGAACTTACCTGAAGCCTCACCCCTTTGTGTTGGCTATAAGATGCAACCTGTGACTCTGGGCCATCCAAGATTTTTCAGGTCAGAATTTTGGTTGACTGTTGAGCAAAGATAGGATCACGCTGTAGAATTTTCTTCCAACTTTGCTGTTGGAATAGTGGAAAGTTAAGTTTGGAGCTTTTGAACAACTAAGGTGTCACTGTAGTTTCAGTCTACTGTTATCACCCAGTCCTTGGGGATATATTGCAAGATACCTCATGGATGCTAGACTGCAGAGAGGATAGAATATTGAAATTTAATGCTTTGCTGTTATAACTGAACACCCATCATGCATTGTGGCCATAGATTTTGCAATTTGAGGTATGACAGGAGAACTAGCAGATTCTTTTTCCTTTAAAGTTTTAAAAATAGATTTCTTATTACCATAGATTTTTAGCAGTCTCAGTATACAGTTTTTTTTTCCCATAAATCAGGAATCTTTACCATTTCACTGGAAGGATGTGCTGTTTTTCTTTGATATATCCCAATTACCAACATCCCTACTCTTGGACTTTGAGGCTATTTAAGGAAAGTACAGTTTCCTTGAATGTCAGCACTGTGTAATGTGGCAGAAAATCTGATAACTAAGCCACTAAGTGATAGGTAGCTGGTAGATGCAGTGTAGATACACTGGGCAAAAGAATGAATCACATCCCAGGAGGTAAAGAGCAGGTTGCCATGAGATTGCATCACATTACTCAAAAGAGCACACAGTGTAGAATTTATAAATTATTTCTAGAATTTTCCTTAACAATTTCAGATTGTAACTGATCACAGGAAACTGAAAAATAAGAAAACCAAAACCATAAGAGGAACAACTGTACTTATTCAACTCTGAGGCTAACATTTGAGCCTCAGAAAGGTATTTGTGATCATACTAAAGATCACATAGTGGTAAACTAGGTCTCTAAACTTACAGGGTTTTTACTTATTTGTTTTTCTTTCTTGTAAACAGATGCATGGAAGTAAGTGTCCTCTGCCTTTAGTATATAGTAATCTTTTTCTTGTTGTCATAAACAAATGAGAATAAGAAGCTCAACTTTTCTGTGTACTTTTTTTTTTGGAACTGGGGACTGAACTCAGCTTGAGCTTGGCAGGCAAGCGCTTATTCTACTGAGCTATCTCCCTGGCCCCTTGTACTGTGTATGTTCCAATCACAGTCACTTATATTTTAAGTTATGTTCTATCATAAGTTGATTTTACATTCTTTACCTCATTTTTTTCTGGAAACAATCATATATTGTAGAAAACACAGAAACCATTGCTTTCATTGTCTTTTATGAGAAGAAAACAGTCTCAGAGAAATCACTTATTTGAGGTCAGCCATCAACTAATGAACACCAGAATCAGAATCTAAGGCTTCTGGGTTTCAGATGTACAGTGATGATCTCTTCCTTGCCAAACTGAATGTATAGAATTCAGTGAATTACTTACTATTTTAAATAGGATGTAAACCAAAACAATACCTAGATACAATAATTTGTTTTGCCATTGTGCCTGGCATTTCTGAATTCTTTTTTTTTTTTTTTTGTCAGAACCGGGGATTGAACTCAGGCCCTTGCGCTTGCCAGGGAAGCGCTTATCCCACTGAACCATCTCCCTGGCCCTGTCAATTCTTCATTGTCAAACAAGGCATAGAGATTCTCTCTCTTCCTCCTAAGAATGTAATGGCTATTTTAGTATTTGTAGGGCAAAAATCTGAATTAAAGTATAATAAGCACACATTTGTAGATATATATATTCTTGTTTTCAGTGACAAATATAAAAGAAATTTGAAGTACATGATCAAGCTTAGTGACTATCACCTTTTATGTGAGACCAAGGTTTTATTTGGGGTTCATTTCTATTTTGAATGTAGTAGAATTTATTGCTAATATTCTGTTAATCACATTTGAGTATTACATGAATTAAATGTTCTCCATTTCCAAATATTAGCATTTTTAGTTGGTTTTATCATAGTAGCTTCTCATGGTGTTAATTTAAAGAATATCAGTAAAAAACTGGAATCACTTAATAAATTTGCCTTCCAACAAGACTAGCTGGAATCCCCAGACATGCTTACCTGCATTCTACATGAATTTTCTGGGAACTTTCCTTATTATTTTGTACTTGTTCAAATGCAAGTGTTTTGTACTCTGTCTTAGTCAGATACATATTTTTCCAAAGTATGTCCTAACGGTCATCATTTATAGATGACAGAGTGCTAACCTCAGTAGGATTTTCACTTAGAGTTGCCTTACTATAGGTGGTAAGTTATCAACTTTAAAAAACTCTTTTTTGTTATTGCTGTTGAATTCTGACTCATTAGTGGAAGTGGAGTCATACCTGTGATAGTAAAAGGATGTTTCCCTGTCTAGTTCCAATAAGAATGGAGCCGTATTGAGGAATACCTCTTTAACATCTGTAAATTAGTTCAGCTACCTACTTTCAATAATGAAATTATTTCATGGCAAGTTTCATGCTATGGCTTTTTTTTTTTTTTTTAAATGTATTTGGAACAGGGTCTCTCAACACAGCTTGGACTCATAGTGATCCTCCGCTTTGGGCCTACCCAGTGCTGGGATTACAGGCATGCACCACCACGCCCAGTTTCAGTGGCTGGCTTAGTGCAGCCAGGGCAGGGCCGGCATTGCCTACAATGCTGGAGATCAAACCCACGTCCCTGCCCTTGCCAGGCAGGTGCTTAGAACACTGAGCTATCTCCCTAGCCCTGCAACTTCTTTTAATAAGAATAAAGGCTTCGAAAAATTAAAATAAAAAATAAAGGCTTCGTCTCTAATTATTGTCACTAATACTGCTTATATATGTCTTTTTTCTTGGCACAGCTCAATGGTTATTCGGGACTTAACCTTACGCAGTGCTGCTAGCTTTGGCTCCTTTCACCTGATCCGTCTACTCTACGATGAGTATATGTTCTACTTAGTAGAACATCGTGTTGCTCAGGCAACAGGAGAAACTCCTATAGCAGTCATGGGCGAGGTAAGAGAAGAGAAAGAGCTGTGATGTGTTAGATTTTTATAATAATAACCTGAGAAGTATATTAGTTTTTGACTGAATCTATGGTTCTACCTAAGTGAGCCTCAGACCTCAGAGAATGTTAAATCAGTGCAAAGAGTCCTGAACACATTTTCACTGACTTGAACCACTAACAATATATGCATAACTGTTCCATTGGGAGCTTGTGTAATGCAAGTACAGTCACGCATGGAATAGCATGTAGGTACCACTGCTGGTGTGAGCCACCTAGCAGAAAGGTATACAGATTACAGTCCCATCGTAAATATGCTAGGCCCTTCTGCTTCATGTGTATTTTTAATCAAAGAATTATACAATTATAGATTATTTCATGTGAAAGTATGTCTGCAAAATAAAAGCTTAAGAACAATTGGATTTAAATCTATTGAATGGGAAATAAAGATTAATTCTTCTGAAAGGCTAAGGGTTAGGAATGCAAGGGAAATATGCATGAGGTATGACCATAATAGTATGTTGAACATTTCTTTTTTACAATTAATTATAGTAAATGACACATTGTTAGTAACCCCCATCAAAATACTCCCTGCTCACTTCAAACTCACCTGTCCCATCTTTCTTATCACTTTGTAAAGTAGTTGTGAAAGTCCTCTTTCATGAATGGTTTTAGTGGGACTGTTGGGGCTTCTTTGATGCCCTGAACTGATCTATGACATTTACCTTTTATGGTCATTTGGACTTTAGAGAAAAGCCACAGTATACACTGTCCTAGATCTGTTGAATAAGGTGAATGAGGACACACTAATTTTTTTTTTTTTTTTTAATGGAACCAGGGATTGAACTCAGGCCCTTGCGCTTGCCAGGGAAGCACTTATTCCTCTGAGCCATCTCCCCAGCCACTCACACTAATGTTTTTATATGAAGAAGTTGCTATAAATATTTGATGAAATATATAAATGTTTAAATTAAAGCATATATCACAATGAAAATCTTTGCCATTTATCCCCTGAAAATATTTCCCTCACTTCAGACATACAGTATTTATCCCATTGTTCTTGGCAATATATCTTATTGTACTTGAGAGGTTTCTTTTAATTTAAACATTCATTGTATTTTTTTAACACCCCTTGTATTTGTTGGCTTTTTCTCCCAGCCTTCAAAACAAAATCAGTGATTCTGTTTCAGAAAAGTGAAGAGTAAAGGTCAGGGAGGTGACAGTGTTAGCAGCTAACATGTTTTAGACACAATGCGCCAGGCACAGTTCTAAGTCATTTACATGTAGCAGAACATTTAAGCCAGGCGTGGTGATGCATGCCTATGATTGGGAGGTCGAGGCAGGGGGATTTCTGTGTGTTTAAAGCCAGCCTGAGCTATAAAGTGAGTTCCAGGCCAGCCTGAACTGCATAATGAAACCCTGTCTCAAAAAAACAAAACAAACAACAATAATAATAGCAACAACAACAGTTCAGTGAGATAGGCACTGTTTTATCCTTTTTATAAACAGATGTGTAAGGTTTATGCAGAAAGCTTGGACACAGTGATTAAGGGTCACATAGCTAATAACTGCTAAAGACTTTTTTCAAACACAGTGTGATTTTCAAGCCCATGCTTTAGTAACTAGTAATGTGGATGTGGAGGGAGCAATCTTTGTTAGAATTCCTAATTTGCAATCAAAATACCTTATCCTCAGAAGTGTAAAAAAATAAAAACTCTAAAGCTAGTATTAGCAATAAGCAATAGTTACTATAATGAGGAGTGGATGCAAATGCTGAAATGATTTATCACTGAGTCATATATATATGTATATATATATGCATATATATACATATATATATATATATATATATATATATATATATATATATATATATATATGTATGACTTGTTTTTTTTCCTGGCTCAGCCTGCCTTGAGGGTAGGGCTGACACACCATGTGGTACCAGGGATCAAACCGCAGTCCCATGCTCCTGCCTCAGCTTGCCTAAGCAGGCAGGTGCTTTTGACTGCTGAGCTATCTCAATGGCCCATTTTTATTATATTAACTTGAGGGTACTTTATAGCTTTTTGGATTATACTAGGCCAGACAAAGATTACCTAAAGCAGTAAAGAAGACATGTTCAGTTTTAACCTGTGTGCTCAGCTAACTTTTAAAAAGCAAAGATAAATATTAGATGCTTTTCCTAGTTTGATAAATATAATAATAAAGTATACATAAAGTGTATCAGAATCTTCAGGAATCTTCCTATCCTAATATAAATAAATTGCATATCCAGCATATGCAGATAAGATCAGAGATATTGAGGGTGGTAGGGCTGTAACTGTTAAGCATATTCAGAACATTAATTAAAATAGTCTCTGTTCCTTTTCTTATAGTATATACATCTGTATTTCTATGTACAATATTGTCCAGTGGTAATTGTGCTTAAATGATGCCAAATGGGCGTATGTGAAATTAAGAATCACTTTCTAAATAATAGGCAACAGTTCTGTAACTAAAACAATCTGTACCTTTCTCAGATATGGCTTCCTCTATTGCTGTTTTCTTTGGTTACATAAACATTGCAAAATACCTACGTGGCTACATTAAGTACTGTAAGTTTTTTCAGCTCAAGGTTCAAGACCTTTTACTGCTTTTATTTTGTGCTGTACTGACATTATCATTTGATGTAGACTTTATCTAGTTCTGTAACTTTCTGACTAAGAGAATATTGTTTAACTTCCATGTGTTTGCATAATATTTGTAGGTTGTTTGTTTGTTTGTTTGTTTTGTACTGGGGATAGAATGAAGGACCTAGCACTTGCCAGGCAGGTGCTTATGCCACTTGCCATGGATTTCTAATTTGATTTTTCTATGATCTAATAATACACATTGAATAATTTCAGTTCTTTTATATTTACCTAACCAGGCTTTATGGCCTAGTATGTGGTATATTCTATAAAAAGTTCCATGTGCTGCAAAGAATATGTTTTTTTTTTGGTGAGTGGAACATTAAGTTCATTTGTGCAAAGGTTTGGTTCAACTCTGCTATTTATTTAACTTTTTGTCTAGTTGATCTATGATAGTGGAGTATTGAAGTCCTCCACTATAATTTTATTAATGTTTTTTGTTCTATGTCCAGTAGTATTTGTTTTATGAGGTTAAGTGCATTGGGTGCCTATATATCTTTTATTGTTATCACTCCCTGTTGTGCCTGGGGATATAGCTCAGCAGCACAGTACGTGCTTGGCAAGTGCAAGTTCATGAGTTTGATTCCTGGCAAAAAAAAAAAAAAGGAAAAAGAAAGCCTCCCTGTTGAATCTTATAAGCAGTGTGTAGTGATGTTCTTTGCCCCTTCTGATCAGTTTTGACTCATTGTCCATTTTGTCTGAAAATAGGATAGCTCTTCCTGATTGATTTCTTGTTCTTGTTGCATGAAATATTATTTTGTATCCTTTAAATTTTAGTTTTAATTTATTTTTAGATTCAGTGTGTTTCTTGTTTGTAGGATTCTGTTGGATTTTGTTTCTTGATCTATTTTGCCAGTCTCTGTCTTTTTATTGAGAAACTCAGACCATTCACATTGAGAATTATTTCTAAAAAATACTTCCTACTATCATTTTATTATCTTTCTGTTGCTGATTCCTTTTATCCCTCTGCTTAATTGCTCAACCTGACACATTTATTCCTTTAGACTTTCCTGCTTTATTGGCATCATCTTCTCTTCTTTTTATTTTATGAAAAAAATTAAATTTCATAATAAAATGATAATAACAATAGTTAATACACAGTGGCTCAGTAGCTTAAAAGAACTTACTCAGAATACAAGACATAGAGTAAAAAATTTCCCCAAAGAAATAAATAGATATGAAACTTTCTTTTCAATGAACTAAGATAAATTAGTAGTATAATTTAAACAAATTAGGATATATATTAAATTGTTTTCAAACAATGGAATAGGTAATTTGAGCAAGTATTTGAACTTGTTGCTACTAGCTATTTATCCCATATATATACACATATGTAAATATACATGTAATATGTATGTATAATGTTTCCATATAGGAGAGACCATACAGTATTTAAGCTTGTGTGTCCAGTTTACTTCACTTAACATTATGTTCTCAGTTGCATCCTTTACCTATGAATGCCTCAAGTTTATCTTCATGTTGGTGTATAGCATCTCTTGTGTATAAACACCACATTTTCCTTACTCATTCACCTGTTGATGGATATATACACTGTTTCCAAGATACAAGTCTTATAAGTAATTGTACTGCTATGCACATGAGTATACATGTAATCCGATAATATGATGATTTTAACTCTGGAATATACCTAGAAAAGAGATGGCTGGGTCAAATGGAGCTTCTGTTTTCAGGTTTTTGAGAAATCTCCACGCTGATTTCTGTAGTAGCTATACTAGTTTACATTCCCACCAACACTGTAGAAAAGTTCCTTTTTCCCCACATCACCAATATTTGTTAGTATTAGATTTTTCAGTGATGGCCATTCTTTCTGAAGTAAGATGGTATCTCAGTGTGGGCCGGCAGTGATTTGTTTTTGTTTTTGTTTTTGATTCATATACTTACTGGCTGTTTGTACTTCATCTGATGTGTAGATTGTCTCTTCACTCTGTTCTTTTCTGTGCAAAAGCTTTTAAATTTGATGTGATCCTATTGTTGATTCTTCTATCCTTTCTTGTCCCATTGAGGTTCTGTTCAAAACATCCTTGGCTATGCCTGTGTCTTCAAAAATTTTGCTTTTTTTATCTTCCAGCACATTAAATGTATCTCTTTTAACATTTAGATCTTCAATCAATTTTGATTTTTGTTTATTGTGTATGTACTGAGACATATGGGCCTAGATGCAATCTTCTGAATGTAAATAAACAAGGCTGTCTTTCCTCTGATGTGTATTTTTGGCTCCTTTGTCAAAAAAGTCAAGTAGCTGTATTGCCTCAGGTTGTTTATACTTTTCTATTCTATTCCATTCATCCACATGACCAGTTATGAGCCCGTACCATGTT